TACTTACTATAATTAAAAATAATAATCAGTAAAATAAATAGCAAATAGAGATTTAATTATTAATATTGCATTGTTTATCAACCGTTTATCGCTCGCAATAATTTGTCACGTGACTGACGTCGTGTTTTATTTTTCCCTTACAATATATTAAAAATTAATTTATGCTTATAATAATAATAATAAATAAACTTATAAGTACAATATACATTTCCGGTGCAATTTTTGGGTGCTTGGTTAATTTAATAAAATTTATCATCCATCTGAAGTCAACGCTGCTTTATATAATTACTTCGGATCATAAGCGTAGGACTATATATTTCTACGCAATATAATAAAAATGAGCTCATTCCTCCGCTCAAAAATTGAGCTATGCTCCAGTTAACATAAAATCTGAAATAGTGAACTCTGGACATAACAATGGTTTCCGTTTTCCTAGTTTTATGAAACTACGTCTACAATGAGGACAAGAAATAATTTAAACTTAAACGCTGCGCCAATCAATTTAAAAACTAAATATCAAATTTTATTAGAAGGTTAAAGTAATTTTCTTGACGAATAACTGATCAAATTTTCGGGGCTGTTTTCATGAATGCTGTTACGAATGATTGGTCGAATCTCTGAGACAAAAAAATTTAGGGGCAATATACTTGTTTCAAACGCGCTTAGCCATTCATCATCCAACAAATCACGATTACCTTCTTCTTCATAAATATGTTGAATTTCTTCTTCTGTGTTCAAGGAATTTATATACGGAATTATAATATAAGCCAGATGTTCCGCTGCTTTCCGTCCGTTGTTCGGCCAACCTGTCTATAGATTCTAACCTTTAATTGGAACGAGTGAAATTAATTACCTTTAATATTTTAATAATAATGTTTTGTTGAATTCGAATATTAAAAAATCTTACATCAAACAAGTCGCGTCAAGTGACGGATTGCCATATTTTTTCAACATCCCGACAATTTTATCCTCAAATTTTTTTACCTGCTCTCTTTTTTTTCGATTTCTTCGTCAATTTTTTTGAGTTGACATTCCTTATTTGCTTTTGCCAGTTCGACTTTATCTTGGGCTGCCTTCCACATTTCTCTTAGAGATACGAGTGCTTTCTTGCATTGTGCTTCATCTAAAATTTTTATATTTTCTTGACTCGTGATTTCGGATATTTCTTCTTTGATAAGCATTTTTTGCTTCCGCAATAC